TATTCCACCATGTCTATCAACACTACGGTCCTTTCTGAAAGGTGTATGATACGAGGGGTGATCCAAAAATATATGGACACCCTGCACAAAACAAAAAGTAATAAAGCAAATCACATGGAATTCTAGTATCTTATTAAGTGAGCATATGTCGGCAAATTCTCAAAATATTGTAAAGAATGTACAAATATAACCGATTCTGCACCAGTTTATATACATAGACATGACAGAACGCGGCGCAGCTCACGACGTCACAAACGACGTAATGCTATCATAGGAAGTAATCTACGTTACCGTTTGCCTTATACTACTTACTTATATTACTTATACACTTATACTAACTGACCATTATATACTCATTGTGACCGCTTTACTTTTAATGCAAAGGTACTTTTTATGGTGTAAATTCAACTACATTCAAATACACAGAAGACATTCAATACAAACTTACCATCGAGTTACCATGTTCTATTTTAGCGTTTATGCACTATTCAGATGATAATATAATTCTACATTTTTATATTGAAAAATCATTTTTACCATTAATCTAGATATTGAATTTAAAAAAAGTATAAACAGTATATTTTATGAAATATTTATATCACTACAGAGCTCATCCAAGTCCATCTCGTGGAAGAACATTAATTGTATTGTTCGCATGTATGATACAGCAGGCAGTTGGTATGTAACGGTATATGTTACGGGCTCAGTGTAATTTACGCAGAATTTATCACAGTTTTTGAAACAAAACGTTCCGAAACTGCTTCAAAGTATATATATGGCTATAGCAACAGTCGCAGGTGTGTTCCCATTCATAGAAAATAACAATCATGTGTGAAAACGAAAAGGCGATTACTTATATCATCAGTTATGTTTTCTAACTCCTTAACGTTTTGTACCGCTATTCATGAAAAGGATTCAAATATGCATTTACCTTGTTAAAATTAGAACAACACGATGTTCCATGAAAATACCGGTTTTTTACCTTGTTGCACTCACTCTCGGTTCAAACATTGGTCAATTCGTTGTACCTATCTTATATGAAATATTCATAGAGAATTATGCTTGGTCAGGAGCATTCATTCTTAATTTGCAGAATGTTCCATTGTTGTACATTATTTAAAACGGTATTACAAAACACATAAAGGTACTAAGAAGGCTACAGTGACGACTTTATGCGATTGTTCTGATGGTATGGATTGTCCATATCAATTATCTTATATTGGATGTGACGGGTGATTGCATCATGATTATCATGAAATACACACATTTTAATTGACCTAGTCATACAATTTCAATATCTCTACACATATATCGGCTGAAGGTGTATTAAATACAAAAAAAAATGTTAAGGACAATTGATCCTCGAATATAAAATTCAGGATGAATAAGATTTTTTTAAAGAACATTACGCTTGTAATTTTAAGCCTTTTAATATATTTTTTTTTCGTTTTGCTTGTTTTGCAGCAAATTTTGAAGCTTGGTTTCTGTAGACCTTACAATATGCCGTCGCATTAGCAGGCAGTCTGGGTCGAGTTTTGTAACAGTTCTAGGATTTGCAATTATTATTAGACGACTGCTTGGTGGTGTAATAAGATTCAAATGCATATACGGCTATATCATTTTAAATGCTATAATGTAATGATGTATAGTTAACAGCTCACTGTTAATTCAGACCATGTTTTTCGTTGACTTACCAATAGTGTAACGCTCACATTAGCTTGCTCTGTATATAAACGCAAATGACATCACGTCAAAATTATATTTTACTACTGTAGTGTAATATCGTTTTTATTACATTGGATTCTTACACTCCTGCGCCTTGCTTTATGTGATAAACTGTATTTATTATAAGTCATCTTACATTTAACCTGCGGCTTTCATTACATCAAATGTTACTATATTTTAAAAAATACGCGTACTCGGCGAATGAAATACATTGTGTTCAGTATACATCACGTTTCAGTATTTTAATAAATGTTTAAACCAGAGAGATACATCGCCAAATAATCTTTAAGCTTTTGCATGTATACAATGGTTTTAAAAATTGTCATACATATATTGAATATTATTTATGAAAAACTTACGACTTAAATGTTAAGATATAAGTATCATTTACTTATATGTTCTATTATAGAAATATACCGTCTTTAAATCATTGGATATGCCTAAGTTGGACATGTTCTCATAGTTAACACTATTGACTTCTGGGGTCGTTTTGCTATTTGCACCATGTTTGGTATACCTTTTGGTATAATGATATCTCAAAGAGGGGACAATAATGCTCGAAGCTACCAGCATCGAGAAATATCCTCAATCGATGGCCCTTGCAAATCTTACATTTGGACTTACGTATCTAATAGGAGGAGAGGTTGCAGGTAATATATAATAATTTGCAATACGTGCTAGTTAAAGACGCATAATTTCCGTTTTGAGAGCACATATTATAGATAACATGACAATTAATATATTGACATTTACAATGTATACATAACTATTTTTTAATAACATTGGTAATTAATATAAACTTCTATGTGTCTAAAAACATGATTTTGAAAGACATAAATCTTTCTTTACAATGTGTCTATTTTAACAATTATGCAAAGGATAAAATTATTATTAAATTTAAGTTATTGCGTTCATCAAATCATGTTTTTGATATTTCACGTTTCATTATGGATATTTCCGGCGATCAAAACTTGGCATTTTACATAGCAGCCTGTGTCTAGATATACATAAGTATGACAACAGGAATTATAGTTGTTCTTTTAATTATGAGAAGAATGCAGCACCAAAACTATAGCTAGATTAAAGTGACATTTAAATAACATATGATAGCTCAAAATGAGGGGCAACAATTATGCCAACATCCTTAGTAAAATACGATCGATCGGAAATATCGTGTCGCGTTTACTTTACGATCATCTTCAATTTTCGTTATAGCAGCAACCGGCTTCTAGATGGATCATAAAAACATAATTTGTGATACAGGTTATCGGACTCGACAAAAAGCAATTGCAAACATCAAACTTGATATAAATCTATAATCTTAATATTGTCTGTATACTTCAAATTCGAGTACAATATCATTTGATTACATCAGAACGCATTAATGTAATGGCATCAGGTGTGGTTTATGTTCTACTAATATCTTTGACGCAATTCCTAAAATTGATCGTTCAAAGCAGTAATAGTGTTATAGATTATTCTATATATTTGTGTTCAGTTTAAAAAAAACAGCAAATGATACAGGTTAGAATTTTACTTGAGTTATTTTTAATATACATGTACACTCTCTACACAAAATGTAAGAGCCTTCTAACGAAGACCATTAATATTTTCTTAAACGGTTCGATCGAATAGTGTTTATTTGCCATTCACCTAAATTTTCGTGTTATCAACATTTAAGTATCAACATAAAACGAAAAAGCAGGCGCACATTGGACGTAATAGTTCATACACAGTATTATGCAAATAAGCTTTATAGGTCACCTTTTTTCATATGGCAAAATGATACAATAATGCAACGATTTTGAACTTTACATGTATGGGTCATGATTAAAATGAAGTGAGCGGTTAAATTAAATCCGACGTCATTTTGTCGATCAGCACACATGTCTTCTTACTAAGTCTAGTGTCCTACGATGCGAAGGTCAGGGTAAATATCTCATCTTTTAAAAACATATGTATGATGTAATAAGTTATATATTGGCGCCTTTTCAATTCTATTCACATGCCGTCATATATGGCTCGTATAAGCTTGTGGACTCCTATGATACCGAAATAACGCAATGCACTGGTATCACAATGACATATCTAGTAAAACTGTTATCGTTTCTCGGTGTTGTCGTATGTTCCTGGTGCATTAGGGTGTCTGAATGATTTCAATATTTTTATTTGCAAGGACTAATGGACTGAATTTAAGGATGTTTAGACCCTAAATGCTAATTTCGATACATACGGTTTCCTACATTTGTTTTCGTGATACATATATAGTCACTTGCGATCTATAGTAAGGTGCTTGCTGAGAATAAGAAGGTAAAATAGTTAGTCTATTTATACTGATATGAATATTTGGTTTCAATTAAACATTGCAAGGAAAAGGAATGTTCGTGTCTTGAAATTGTCATAAATTGTTCTAGCAAGTAATACACTCTGACCACTCTACATTACATATGCATCAAATTCAAACTCTGATTGAAAACTCTTTTTATAAAATATAAGCCTGTTTTATATTTTATCATCTTTGGAACAACTGTGCAAGTCTTGTCATGCCAGACGCAAATGTGTGTGGTTTTTGTTTGTTTGTTCTTTTTTTGTTGTAGATGAAAACATAGTTTAGATAATTATTTTTGTATATTGAATGAATCTAAGCTGACAAATGATAAAAAAAATTCTAACCAACTATCACAGTCTCACTCCCATTATTTTTATTTTTATCTACAATGGATAGTATCTATAATTGTTCCTTGGCAGATATTGATTTAACGGCAATTGATGTATATTGTTCTTTTCTTCAAGTTTTTCCTTCACAACAAAGAAATGACAATTTCAAGCGGTTTTGTTACATTATACCACACTTCAACGGTATCTACAGGATATTCTTAGTTTGAAACATCATCTTTTGAGCTTGGAAAGTAGAACATAACTAAGGAAGGGTTAGAAAGAGTGAATAGTCCACCTTGTTCTTGATGATCTTATTACATTACTTGTATAAATATCGCGCCTTCATATAATATCATATACAGTATCGTCTCAGTTTTGAACATCATGCACAACACGCATGCAAAGTAGAAAATGATTGTGAAATTGTTAGATATGTATAATACATTAATATAGATGATCTGTTAAGGTATGCAATAAAATATCATTTTGTCCCTGAACTGACCTTGTATTCACTATAAGCAGTTAATACATAGTCACGTTTGGTGTAATGTATCATTACAATGTAACATAATTGAAACGTTTCGGTATCAGTGAAACTAACATTTTCGGACTAAGTTTGACTAAAGACATTTGAAAGCAGACAATTCTTTAACATACATGATTAAGTTATCTTAAAATGCTGCGAGTGATGTGTTCTTTAACCTTCTTGTTAAGATTATTTTTGTTAAATACATATCTACTATATTTTAAGTTTTACTAGTTTTTATGAACTGTTGTAAACGAAATTTTAAAAGAAATGCTAAATAATTTAGTTGTGATTATGTATGTAGAACTCGTCGTCATGTAGATCTGTTATTTATAATTGTTTCTGTCAATTGTACTGTATTAATTATTCATACCACAAATTGCGATTTATAAGGTATTGATTTACCCAATAAACACTTCATTTCGATTTATTTCAAGAGTTAGTGGCGGCATGGCCAAGTGATTAACACCGAATAGCCTGATATATATAGATCGATAGCTGCGTGGGTTCTAGCCCTGTAAGGGGGCGAGCCATTCTTTCCATTACAGCCATTAATACTGGTTTGTTACGGAAACTTATCGAGTCTGTCTATAAGCGTTTAGCTATCTACACAATCGAGCCTAAATTAATTATATATATTAAACAAATTATTCCTAGACTCAATATAAGTATAAAGATTAAAGTACTTTTTGGATGTATTGTATGAAATATTACGTTGATACATCATGACTCTTTGCACAAGCCTTAAACACTGTGCTTTATCTAGATCATATATGACTAATTATTCATCGATAAGGAATGAATGTTTCACCTTTTATCATATCATTCTTTCTGTATTGAAGTGGATTTAAAGTAATCAGAAAAAAATAGAAAATGTTCCAATATTTTGACAACAGCTGTTTCATTATTTTATATTAAAATATTATTTAATTAGTTAGAAACAAATACGGATTTTCTTCACTGGAATGTTAGATACTATACCACCATTTAATAGGGAAGTGGTATAAAACAGAACAATGGACATCGTCAATGAAAACTCTTACCTCATTGCAAAAAAGGAACTTAATGGAAATAGGTAAATTTACTATTGAAAATTATATGGCACCAAATTACAGTTTTTTTAACACACCTTTAAAAACAGAATGTACATCTAAAATGAAAAGGTTAAAATGCAGTAATTTCAAAAGAAATATACTAGAACAATTTTAAATTAATAAAAAAATAAATAAATTAATTAATTTATCTATTTAGTTATTTATATTGGTGGAGACTTAAAGTCATTTAAAAAAAGAAAATTGTATGTACATATATTTTTATTGGATAACAACCACAAATATATGTTATTTTAGGTGCACATTTATTATTATAGTAGAGTTCATCGAAAACCATCAAAGGGAAGACAATGTGTCTTTATAGTAGCCTGTATGATGCAACAACTCATTTGCAATGGCATAGGCTACGGACTCAGCGTAATATATGCCGAACTTATTATTGTTTTTGAAGCAAAACGATCAGAAACTGCCCTAGTACAAAGTATTTATATGGCTTTAGCGACAGGCGCAGGTAATACTTTTGATAATATACATGTACATTTGTTTTTAATTCAATGCATGTTTAACATGCACAACTACAAACCGACGGACGAAAACCTGTAGGCCTTTCGAATGTGATACGGAATAAAGTTCCTAGCGTTTCACTTATTACCTTATGGTTTGAATATGTAGGTAAATGTAGACAAGTTATATCAAATGGGTAACTAGTATCACAGAAATTTCTTCATCTATTGCGTTTTGTTTGGTGGTCCAAATGGATTGAATAAGAACTGTACCGACTCTTTGCTTGAACGCATCATAAGACCCTAACTTTACTGTATTTTTGTCTGGAAAAATATCAATTTCTTATATAATATATTTATCGACATTGTTGCAGTCTGTACTAAGACGTGCTCTTGCCAAAAAATGTTAATTAAACAAGCACTCACATTAAATCATACTTACATATGTGTAAGTTACATATTGTAATCTTGTTTTTTAACTTTCAGAATGTTTTAAAAAGCATCAAAATATCTATTACAGGGATATTTTTCACGGGCATAATAATGAAATTTGGACCTGGAAATAGTATGATTGTCGGTGGTATTGTAGGCGGTATCGGACTCTTCTCAAGTTCATTTAGTAAGGGATTGACTCCAATCATTCTATGTACCGGCGTCGTTGCAGGTGAGTTGTGGGGCTTTCCAACGCTACATAATGCAAGTTTTAACATTGATTCATTATTCCATTATGTCTTTGCCCTCGTCCTCTTTTGATTATAACAATACCTTGTTATAACTTCTAATTACCATTCTAATGATATTAATCAATACGCTATAATGATAGACTAGTAAGTTATATAATGTTTTAAAAGCTGACTATTCCTCTGGAATAATGTTGTATCTAGAATACCCAAAGTGTTTAAACTTTGTTACAGCTCTTGGGATGTCTGCATGCTACCTTGCTGCGTTCATAGCCGTCAGTCGAATGTTTCATGATGATGCCGGCCTTTATCTGGTTTCACTTTCTCTCGGCGCAAGTATTGGACAATTCGTTATTCCCCCTTTCTACGAACTGTTCATTGCACAGTTTGCTTGGTCAGGAGCATTTATTCTGATGGCAGGAATAGCTTTACAAAATGTACCGTTCGGTGTTATTGTACATTACTCAAGACGATACTTTAAAACAAATGCAGGAAATAAAAAAACTTCAAAAGTGTCAGCTTCATGTAATTTTTCAGTTTTGAAAGACTGGCTGATATGGGTTGTGTACGTGAATTTTCACTTTTTCGCTTTGACAGGTAATTCGATCGTTTAATATTACAAATATTGTTTATATGTTTGGTTGTTTTTCCTTTCAAGAAAATAAAAATATAAAAAAAAACATAAAAGAAACGAAAAACAAAAAAACATCGCGCTCTTTAATCAACTGTCCGTAGTAAACTTTAGCTCTGCCATTATATTTCCCTAGTTACAGAACATAATTTCATACAAAGGAACATACATTCAAATGTTAAGTTAGCTTAATGAAATTGACTGTAAAACTCTAATGTTTAAACGGTAAGAAGTTACCAAGATATTTGGAAAAATTCTTCATGTGTCAATCAGAAGTCTTTATCATAATATTTTATCTAATTGCTGTTTTATGTTGATTACAGGCAACTTTGAGGCTTGGTTTCTTGTCGACTTTGCAATATCTCGAGGCTTTAGTAGGGAGTCGGGGTCAATTTTAATTACAGCTATCGGATTCGCAAATGTATTAGGGCAACTTGCAGGAGGATTTCTTAGATTCAAATGCACGTATGTACTTGCCTTGAAAATTCATGCACGCCATGAATTTGAATATGCTTATTTTGGTATGATTGAATTCCATTAAATTATTTCCATCAGTTTTGATTGCTTTAATGAATCATACTTAATATGCAAATACGTTTAAACCAGTATCGGTAAATGAAACGAAAAAGAAATACATGTCACGTCCCATGCCGAATTTCTCTATGAGACAGGGGAGAAGACCACAGAATTGATCTGAATATACTTATTCTATATCGTGGTGTTATGCATGTTTCTTATATTCATGTTTTTATTGTAGAAACATGCCATCTTTGTACCATTGGATATATCTTAGCCCTCTACTAGCTATCGGACATGTTCTGGTAGTGAATGTAAATAGCTATTGGGGACTCTTGGCTGTTTGTATATTATATGGCATACCATTTGGTGCAATGGCGGCACAGCCAGCAGCAATCATGTTTGATATGACGAATCTAGATAGCTATCCACAAGCAATGGCAATAGCAAACTTTGTCTTCGGTCTAGCCAATGTCATTAGTGGCCAGTTTGGAGGTATATGTTTATCAGTAAAGCATACATTATTATGATAAACTGACATGTTCTTGTGAAAAGTATTTTAAATAATCAAGCAAATGTTTTATTTAAAATTATATAATAGTCCATAATTGTTGTAGACTAAGATATGATATACAATATTTTGCAAAGCAAATGAGGAATATTATTTAAAAATGAGATTATTCCTAAATAAAATCTTTATGACCTTACATTTAGCAAAATATACTTAAGTTTCTGAATCTTATACTTTGTATAATTATTAATTTAGGATTCATCAAAGATACACTAGGAGATTACAATCTGGCATTCTACATAGCAGCCGGTGTAAGTATATACATGAGTCTGACTACAGGGATTGTTGCGCTTGTTTTAAGGAAGAGAAAACAGCAAAAGAAATACATGCCAGTACAAGGAAAAACTGAAGTTAAATACGAAAAGCTAACAAGCTAACACAAACTACACAAATGGATCACTTATATGTTTCTGTATTGTTTTACACTATTAAATGAAGTGTTTGAATACATCTGCAATAACAATAGAATCATAGAAAAGGCTGGCGTAAATATTTATAGGTACAAAACATCATAGTGATTTAAATACCACTTAACTAATAGTTGGCAAAGGCGCAAAGAAGCTGTGAACTGAAATATGGTTAAATCATTTATCACGATATATATCTGAACGTTTGTACATACAGAAATGAAAAATGATTTAAATTAAGTTTTTCTATCATTCAAATAAAGTTTATTGAACAAAAATAATAGAGAGCTATTTTTTGTTTATTATAATTATGATATTTCAATGTTACGACGTTGCATACGATGTCATTTTCTGTTACTTTATTACAGGAATACTGATTTCGTTCCCACTTCGTATATTGAAGTTTTACGTAGACAAAGACTTAGTATACATAGAATAATCACACCAATTCAAAACAGGATATTAGGCAGGACAAGCGATTTTTGTTTTTCCTTACATAATTTCGCAGATTAATGGCGCCTTTCCGTTATAATTCATGCTTGTATAATATAATAACAACTTAAATAAACCAACCATTTCATATATTGCAAGATTCGTCTTAACAAGTGGTACGAGTTTTTCTTCAAAAAGATCCTAAGTAAACAAAATTACAAACCTATTAATCAACTTGACAACTTTGTACCAAAAAACATTGCTTTTGAATTGAAAGAACAGGAATTATTACAGTTAGTTTGATTGCTAACAGAAGAAATTTGTGCTGATCTAATGAACTATAGAATGGTTAGAGTTTATTTATGTATAGGTGGGGGTAAGGGCTTTGTAACACCGGCGCTATAATGGCAACATAATCATGCTGAGCCTCGTCTTAGGGCATTATTTCATGCACAAGCGGGAAGCTGAGAAGCTGTAAGCTAGCTAGAAAGGGTTGTTTCCTGGCATCTTTCTTGTGACTGAGTTTTGATGTTAATGAGTATTGAACTTTGCACCCCCTTTTCACATCTTTTAAATCAAGGCGTACCAGGTTTAGAATAACATATTTTATTGAGGTCATCATGACGTTTACACTTTAATTCATTTAAATGTGTTACTAAAACAAAATACAATGAATTGAACTTTGATTATTTAAATTAACTTAAATTTTGTTCAATTATTTTTTTATTTACTTGAACATATTTAACAACGACGGATACTTCAATTAAAAGCTTTTAGTTCACACATTTTTGACAATAAGCAAAAATATAAAATTACAAGGACGGACGTCAAGTAATATGTTGCAAACGATAGTAAATGTTGAATAATTCACATTATTGCGACTAAAGAAAGATAGAAGGTTATTATTGCTGCTTTTATCTTTAATTATTTTGTTTTTGAGTCCTGTTTTGTAATTTTATGTTTATTGCTAATATTCTGAAAGAAATAAGACCAACACTTGTAAGAGAATCGTGAGGATTTCGGTCAAGCATTCGCTAATTATATTGTTGTATTTTTTTTTGTATATATTTTTGTTGTTATATGTTTTTTGTTGTTGTTTTTGCTATTGTTGTCTTCGCCTCACTGGTACTATATAGATCTTTGCACTATGCATACACGAGGTATAAGTATTAATTTTCATTGATTTAACAGTTTCTCTTCACCAGTTATCAGGTTCACAGGTTTATAAGCATAATCACATTTCTTTAGAAATGCATCTCCTATACAACCGTGGATGTCCTTTTAAAGCCAGTGTCCATCATCAAAATCAAAATGTTGTTATAGTGGCTGCTGTAATTATTGCACTTATTCGGTCCTTATGCTTTCACTTTATATCATCCTTTTTCATGTTTGAACATTTCAAAATAACTGTTTCGAAATTACTTCTCTATTTCAACAACCTGAATGGTTTTTAATTATGACCTAATCGTACGTACTCGATGCCCTTATCTGACACGTTTTATTTTGATAATCAATCTAGATTAATCTCTTCCTTTAACATGTCAAGTTTACAAATACACCAAATGAGAGTGATAGCAAGACAGAAAGTAATCTGTCTTGTTCGCTTTGTTCTTAATCAAGCTTAAATTTTTAACCTCGATGTATACGTGAGTTGTTGCACAGCGTGTAAGGTCAACAGCTGCGTTAACATTTCATCATCACATAGCGCTCATATAAGTGATGAAGTATAACGGTTGTATTAAAATTCTTTACCTGCGAGACGTCTTTAAACGCTTGAATAGTTTTAGCAGTCAGTATTTATATAACTGCTATCGCAATCGTTGATTATCGTATAAAATTTAAATATCAATACATTTAAAACTTAACATCGATTTAAACTTACACGGTGTGTGTTATTTTATTTAGATGTAAGATAGCTCGTAAGAGATAGTAGATTAAATAAAGTGCGATAAGACAGACATATAAAACTTGGGATGGTTTTAAAAGTGACAGCTTCCACACAAGTGAATCGACAACAAAGCATATGTGCTCCACGAAAATCATGGTTAGTAACATTTATTTTGTACTTACTTAATGTATGCTAAAATATGATATTTTACAAATTTTCTTAATTTCATTTGACTTTTTACCTAAATGACTAGTTCTTGTTTTGAGAGTGTTCCAAATTTCACAGGGTTAAGTTGGATTAAATGTACGTACGCGTTTGGTAAGGTAATATACAAAGACATTAACCTAAATAATTATATGTATATACAGCATAGCAATGACTTTTTGTTGTTGTTGATTTTCGTACCTTTGTATTGTCTTTAAGAAATATTTAAAATGCACTTTTGAACCATATGAGTTTTGCTCTTTTGTGTTATTAATATATCATAAGCACATGACAGTTTGTTAGAAACGTTTCTATATCTAAACAGCAATAAATAAGTGATGTTTACCGTTTTGCAGCCGTTTTACAGCATTTCGATACATTTCATCTACATCTCTATGACTGCTGATTTAGATTAATAATATAAGTCATAATATATAGAGGATATTGAATGAGTGTAGTTTAATACTAAATTTATTGAACGAGTTGAATAAAATCATATTATCATATTATCGAGCCTCTGGCGAGCAAAATATTGTTTTATTCAACGAGTTCAATAAATTTAGTATTGAATCTACACGAATATAATATTCTATTTATCACATAATATAAAAAAAGAACAATAAACTGTAAAAATGAGTAATTTTTCAACGACGCGCCTATAGTGTAACGCTAACATTAGCGCGCTTTAACGCTATGTTTTTATATAGCGCAAATGACGTCACGTCAAAGTGTTATTACACTAGTGTAATATCGTTTTTATTAAATGGCTTTATTACACTCCTGCGCAGCGGTTTATGTGATAAATTTATATATTACTTAGGATATTTGTTCTTGCATGTTCTACCATATTCCATCACATTTAATATATTTATCTTAATAAAACAATTTTCCATGGAATGTTATGTCATTACACCGTAACTATTTTCTTAAAGCTGCACGCCTCCAGATGAGCAAAATTATTTCAATAAAATCAAACCTGAGAAAAATGTACTAAGATTTTAGGAAAAGTATAAAGATTCAAAGTTCTAGTAATAATTTACATGTTATGTGCGATTAGTGACCGATTTTTCAGTATTCATCACTATATTTCTGAAGCGTTACTAACGCAGTAAGGGCTATTTTGCATATTTTTACATCTTTTTAGTAATTTACGTGGGTTGTAAGTGCCATTGAGAATGTGTAAAGTGCTTCCTTTTGGTTATTTTACTAAATAAAACTTTTAAACACATTTTAAAATTTTCATGACAATAAGCATGAATCTGGAGGCGTGCTGCTTTAAAACAGCGTATAAAATTACAACTTAATTCATAACGGCGAAATATCGCCATCTTAAGAATGCAGTTATATTATTCAATACGCGAAAATGACGTCATTTGAACGTGGTTCTTTCATTCAATGCGCTAAAATAACGCCATTGTATAGTAGGCGACTCATGCCAGATGCGATATCCGACATGGGTAAAACTAACGGAAACACCAGTCCGATATGCATGAAAGTTATTGTTAAATGATATGACAAAACAGTTAAATTCTTTAGCTTTCTTTTTAAGGCAGCATTACATGTACAGTTTGAAAAGAGTATTATGTATATTACTTCACCAGTTATTATATGTACATAAAGTTTGATTATGTACATATTCAACGCACAGTTCATTTATGTAATGTCTTGTCATTTATGATGGTGATATTCGCCTTAGGTTATATAGCATTTAAAAAAACAAAAAAACACATAAAAAACATTATGTTGCGAACAATTGTCGTAATGCTTTTAGAGAATTAACACTTTAGTAGACAAGATAAAGATAATTTATCATTGTTCGTTTGCATGTTTTTTGTTTGTGAATAGTTCATATGGCGACGTTCCAGTTTTACTGGTGGAAAAATATTCATCATAATCTACGAAATATCGACCAATCAAATAAAACACCACTTGGCAAACGTAACTTATGACATACTATTATTTAAATGTATTACAAAACATTTAATTTATTGCTTATACACTTCAAAGCATATTTGTTGCATTATTCTTGTTATTCCATTTTGGTTTTATCCCACTTCGGTTGTGCTGCAAAAACTCGCAAGTGAAAGACAATTATGAGCTGTTTTGTATATTTTTAACTGTTACAGCAACTATATGCTGGAATGAACGTTTATAGTTTATAATGATAATAATACTCAAACATCGTGTTGTAACTAAATAATATAGTATAAATTCATCAAACGCCTCGCTGTGCTGTTTTTATTTCATGGTCGATTTACTTACTGCATTGAACACACCTTATTTAAATGTGGTTGCTTGTTTGTTAATAGACTAAACAAATGTTACACACATTTTTGCTGCGTCATAGATAAAATCGAAGTAACTTGATGATGAAAAAGATTTAACGTTTTATCTTTATTTTTATAAATTTAGAATTAAACATTTAATAAATGGAAGGCGACTTGAGGTGCAATAACACCGTTGTACTCGTTAAAAGTACAAGCATCGTAAGAAGTTATAGCAGAACATAGACGAAAAGGATCCAAAGCAACATAATAATAACAATAATAATAAAACAAACAAACAAAATAACGTGCGCAAAGACATAAGTGATTGTAATGTGATAAGATGCTATTGGATTTTTTACAGTTCCAATATTGGGAAGTATTTGTCGTTACTGACAGTTATGCTGCTAATTGCATCGATAGTGGTAGGAACAAGTAATCCCCAGGGAACAAAAACTACAACCGTTGTATTTGTACATCTCCTTAGTTTTGCTGCGCACTTTGGGGCACAATGCTGGGTAACATTTATTGCAGGTACTTATTTTATACATTGTATGAGGTTTTTTAGCCGTGAAATACAGTAAATACAGTTTGTATTGATAAATCGTTAAACAGATTTATTTATCTCGAGAATCATTCACGTCCTTATATCAGATAAGGTCTGAAATGCGTTATTTCTTTTTTTTTCTTTCAGGGTTTGCAATGTTTTTCAGTTTGCCTAGAATAATGTTTGGTCATCTACAAAGCAGGATGTTTCCACTTTATTTTGCGATAACATTGGTTTTGTCGTGTGTAACTTTAATAACGTATGTTATACTACACCCCTACCCGACAATGACGCCATCTGAAACTAAACAGGTACACTATTGTTTAAACTAACCTCTCCAAACTGCAATTCGTGTAATATTAAATGCAAGCAGTCGATTAAGTTTCCGTTTGCTGTGACACGATATGCCTTATTTTCAATTTTAATATTCACTTTATTGGCCACAGTGAATTGAAAATTATACCTATTGTAGCGTCTTAACGACCTCTGAATTGTATGCCCTTTGACTAGCTCGTCCCTTGATGTTTTTAAGTCTAGAAGGGCGGGATAATCCTCTAAAATAAGAAAGAACTTACAATGTAATGCAGATGCGTTTTATGACTACGATATTTAGATGCATACGTAATATTGACTGAAATGTAATGCGATTCTTTCGTTTTGTTAATTGATAATATTTTCTCTGAATCTTTAATTGTATACACATTTTGCATGACGATTTAATCGTCGCCACTTGACATAAGTCCATACTGCATGAATTACTTGACAATACACTTTACTCTTTCAACAGTTTATCGGGCTTTGTGTTTGTGTGGCATCAACTTTCATCAACAGCTTTTTTCTAGCACCAGAAATTGTCGATGCTATGATCAGTGTATTTGATATCGAGAAATCGTCAGGAGTAGCTTATGTAATTGGATATTGTGATAAAACTGAATTGAAGAAAGATCCAGAATATTCAGAACACTACAGGAGATTTAGACTTAATCACAGTATATCTGGTGTCGCTAACGTAATAACTTTGATGTGTAACATTTTCTACGTGTATCAATTAGCGATCAACAACGAGAATGTCAGTTTTTATAACCTCAACATTGTGTAGGTGTATTTTATATCGGCCCGCACGGTTGATAATAGATGCTATATTCCTTAGAATAAGAGAATAGTTGATCAAGACATAGAGGATATTCAATTTTTTTTCTCTATAAATACAGGATTTATTTTCATCAAGTGGAATGAAAATAAATAGTTCATGAGTGGCGGTATTATATATATTCATAAAAATAACTTGAATTTCTATTTATTGCATTCAATTGTTTGACATTGCAATTTCAAAGATTTCCCATCGAATTTTATGTATTGGCTGAATTTAGAAAAGACAACAGTGAAAATACAGAAAATATGTTTCACTGCAGTGAATATTTTTATAGTGAAAATACGCAATTCATTTCATCAGTATTCCTCAATATTTCATTTTTAAGTATATAATAAATTATTCTTTTGTTAGTCTATTCTAGGTGCTATAATTTTTTTTAGTTTTATTTATTTGTATTTGTAGCCAACTTTATTTCTCCACTACCTAGTAGTTTCAGTGTAGTTAATATATCAAGTCGTTAATTAAGTTGTTACAAGAAGTCTTTGCCGACTCTTTCGGGGTAATTAAAATGTATTTATCATATGATGAGAGCATTTTGATAGTGCCATGTTGCATGTGTTACATTTTACTTTCTTTATAAACTCTTTATTAACAAATACAGTGTGTTTTATCTTTTTTTCTTCAATGTAATCCGGTATGGCACGTTTGATTATTTATAAATGAGTTTTGCTAATTAAATATTGCCATATAAGATATAGATCTATAAACGTTTTGTTACTTTTTTATTGTCACATTTCCTAAATGGTTGATGATTTTTATTAATAAAATTTACATTAGTCTCAATACATTTATACATATAGGAAAGATTTAAGACATGTATCACAAATTTATCGGGGCCATTCATGATGATCATTCGATAATGATTTTCAAAATCCAGTATAGATTTGGATAAAATAACGACAGTTGGACCAGTCATCCAGGTGTTAATTTGTATTTTTGACAATATTCCATGGCACCGTCAAGATATGAGACACATGTTCTAATAGACATTGCTAGACTTGTATGTTCAGTGGCCGTTCATAGGTCGTAATATCTTTGAATATAATACTCTAATTACCATTGCTTAAACTTAAACGTTAAACATATATTATCATTGTAGTAATTTGTGATATATTTTACATATTTATTGTTATAATTATTTAGTAGCCTCCCTTTATTCACTTATGACTTTGGATATTTACAATTATAAACTACATTTTTCATAATGTATTTATATGGTTATTGATTTTCTTTCTGTATTATTAATTAATTTTGAACATAATAGTCAATGCCATAACTTGAATGGATAATAGATAGATAAATTTCATTTGATTTTTAAAGTTTTTTAAGATATAAGATAATGATGGCGATGTTTCTAAATTATAATTTCCCTTTTTTACAATTTCAGAATGTGATTAAAGCAAGTTTTATTCTACACTAAACATAAATAACTGTTATTTTCATATCTGTTGAATTTATGTACTCGCCTAGTTTTTAAATATTTTGAGCCAGTTCTTTTCGAAAATGATATATGCTATTTAAAATAATCTCACGCATATGTTTAATTGTATAAAACAGAAATAGACGTTTTATTTTATTATAATGTTATAACGTTTCTTTTACGTGCCAAACGTGGCGTCTATTAACGTAGACGTATGTTTGGTACGTTTACCTCATTTGCTTTGTTATATATCAATTGATGAAGGTAATAAAGCGAAACATGTATAATTGATATTTAAAATTGTGTTGGTTCTTTATCTATTTGACCTATTTGTTTAATTAAGAAACAATCAAGATTGTTGTGACGATAAGATTCACAGTAATAGCGAGTGGTATGCACATATTAACGGACAACAATATAAAGACATCTGAGGCATGGCGAAGGTTCATCTATTTTTAAATCTGATATCGAATATATTTAATGGTAAAGCGGTGGTGTTTATGGATTAAATCACAAGTGTAAATATAGCAATTATAAGGCTTATTGAATGCAATTAGATTTGAATGTTAATCAGTTTAAGCATATATAAGCTGTTTCATTCATAATGATGTAATAAAATAATGTAAATTGTAAAGAATACACATATAGAAAAATGATTTATCTCACGAACAAAAATGAAACTGATAATAATCCTTTAAAAATGGACCGTTTGTGTTTACAATTTAACACTGCATACTCGTGCACAGAAAATACAGTTTTATTTCATTCCAGTATAGTAGGTTACAACTACGTAATGCTTAGATCTTACTATCTATATTAAACTATTTATCTATACTAATCTATCTATCTAAGTGTTTATTAAATAACAGAATCACATACATAGTTTTGCTCTTAACGATATTACAATAGATTAAGATCTTTCCATTTGTTCATGCATCACAACAGATTAATTTTACAGTAATTATCAAGTGATAATGGATAAATTTGATTGTAAAACCAACGTTAACTGAACTGTAGAAAAATACGCCTCTTTGGAAAGCCTACTCAAATCAATTTAATTGTTTTGTAATAAATGTAATAGGTAGCAATGATACCACGCTTAAGCACATTTTAAACCTGCATATAACAATTTCATTAAAAACTGGATTCAATATTTATTTAAAGACTTTGTAACACAATATTTTATGGTTTAATATCATTACTATGAGGCTTTAAATTAGGATTTATCAATGTTGTAAGTTCCAAAAAGCATTATTTATAAAGATATGACCGAACTTGACATTTAATGTAAATAAAGGGAGGCAATTAGAAATTTATTTTCTTTAAAGTCTAAGTCAATTTTTTCATTAAGAAATGAATGCACATATTCTAATGATTACATATAATGTGCACAAATATTTGCAGTACATACTTTACATATTTTTCGATGTTTGAAAATTGTTTTATAAGCATAATTATATACATATACACAATTTCACTTAGGTGTAGTAACAGCCTATAACAACATACCGGATCTTTAACATACGTAAAAAGTCGACTGGTACACGTTGTTTTAAAAATATAATAAAGGGGTTCTACATAATTACAGAAGTTTCACTTGAATTTCTATTATGACTGAGAATACAAACATTACTATACAATTAATAAAAAAAAACATTGGAAATTATTCTTTAACTTTCAGATTAATTTGTATATTGCTAAAACAGTTAAGTTTGGTCATACTTTCTTCCACAAAACATTTAAACTGCGTTTCGGTATATTATATTTTCTATTGTACAGTTTATTTTACGATATAACTTACTAAATTATAGATTTTGTCTAATTAGTATAATATCGAGACCTTCAATTACATTCAACAAAGATTTTTACTGTGTTTTTTTATATCATATCTGTTTGCATTAAATGACAAATAATATGTTTGTTCATCTTATACTATGCATTATCCTTTTTTATTTAAAGATACTTCTTGTTTACCATATCTATACCACGTGACCTTTTATAATATACGAGGTGCAAAAAACACCAATTCAATAGACGTTCCGGATTTATCGTTCTTGGATAACCTTTATAATTCTTCCCATTTTATATCGGATTAAAGTGTAGAACCATTTCATTTACTTAACAAAACGAAAATAAAACCCAGAAAACATTGTATGTGTTCCTCGCTAGATTTAGCAGACTCTGCACCTAATAAAATCAACAAGTTAAATGTTGATGACGCCGCCAAATGATGTGAACAGTCAATCAGCATTGCAAATCGTTCTCTATTACAGTTGAATATCCGACACGCACAAATCAATTTTTGTTCCATGCTCTTGGTATGTGCTCGTTGTTTAATAATAAAGGTGCATATTTTTGTGAAAAAGTAGAATTTAATGCTAAATTCACAAAATAATGCCATGTCTGAAATTCTTAAATATTTGTCTGTTGCGACGAAGACTGAAACGTCTGGTCAAATCAAAATAAATTGGATGACAAGTAAAATTATAAAAATCGAATGATTTTGAGGACAAACTGTTCTGCAGTGATCTCCCCTTACAGCCCGTAGCGTAACAGGTTTGTTGTATTTTCTTAACTGTTGAGTGAGAACCGCCTTTTCTGATAGTGGGCGTGGCTTAGGCTTTGTAACTTGTAATTTAATGATTCGACAAGTGATATTGATCAAAGTTGTCCTGGTTCCCTTCTACCCAGTCAACGAAGACTAAATGCTAGCACATGGTGCATAATATCAAATTTAATATGACAATTTAAGGCGGAGCCGAACTTCAACAGAGGCGAAGCAAATGAAGTAAGTGACACTGCCTCAGTTGTCACCTCTCTCCACGGTTCAGTTTTAGAACGATCGACTATAGACTGGCTCATTGGCACGTTATTTATTATGTTGATAAAGTTAGATAATGATAAAAAGAATATGATATTCAAACATGGCACTATCACTTCAGTTAAACGTTTATTCTAATCCCTTAAAGCTCTGTGGCATGTTGTACATCATAAAAGCTTTTTTATTAGAAAACTTAAAAACAGTGTGATTTTGTTAAAACAAAACACAAAAAAAAAACAAAGTCAAGTCTAAACTTTTCCCCATTGCTGTATGGACAAATGCATATCTACTGGACGCCGCTTGCAAGCGGCGTCTCATTAAATCGTATGAAAGACAACCTTGGTATTTAGTCTTTAGTACTGGTTTTATGCCCAACGCAGATCATGAAATTTTCACTTGGTAAAGGAACCATGTAAACGGTTAATCTAAATGACATTTGAAACGCAATGTTTCATTTTCCGAAGCAGTAAACTATTATTGCGCCCATCTATAACTGAATTATACACGAAAGAGTTTTTTTAATTACTTGTTCATTATTAAAAATAAGTCCTATCTTTATCGTTATCAATATTACATCCTCGTGAAATGTCATTACTTAATATGTAAAAGCGATACTAATTTAAATGAAAGTGAAAAACAAAACCTTAGAGTGTCATTATCCTTATTTCTAGACCGTCGCCTGAAGATATATTAGTTGCACATTTCAATAGATTGACAATGTAATGACGATTGTACAATAATTGGTAATTACAAATGTCAAGGATATTATATATAAATTATGTCTAAATTATAAAAAAGACTGCCCCAAACTTTGAAACAATAGAACATAAATAATTATCTCCATAGGACGTTTAAAGATATCTATATGGGTCAGATTGGGGGAAGTATTGTTGATTACTCAAGTGATGTGTATTACAAAATTGTAACTAATATGAAGACATTCAGCTTTTATCTACCTGAATTCTTACCATTCCATTTTCGATGGACATGATGTCATTGTAACAGAAAACATACTAATATATCCAATTAATTTCAAATTATGCTTTCGATTAAACTATTCTTCTTCTACAAGAATGGATCTCCTTGTATCACTTTTCTTTCGTCGCCGTATACAAATTGCAATGATCAGTGTACTTAGACTTATGTAAACGCCTACACCCGACGACAGATAAAACGAGACTTCATATGATCCAAACACATCCTTGATGTAACCTAAAACAATAGGATTGTGTTTTTATTAAATGAATTAGTAATAACATGCGAATATTTGTCATAATAAATGGACGAGCGTTGACACAGCTACTGGAAGACTCGGTTTCTATCTCAGCCGTGCAGTAGTTTGGAGATTGTTATAATATATATATATTTATATATATTGACTATCTATCTATTTTTTTTTAATATTATGAAATGTGCTCTGTTTATAGTCGTCATGTAAATCATTATGCAATGTTCATGCTGAAGTTATTTTTTAGTCTTTTAAGTCACAAAGAAAATGTTAATTTGAAATTACCATATTGAAAACTTCAAGCTTTGTTGGTACTCGTACGTACACTTTTTTACGGCTGAGGCAGATACTTTCGTTTAACCTCAAACACATTATAAGTAACACGAAAACATTTTCATTATTTTTTTTCATTTACGGAATGTGTTTCATTAGAATATAGTATAAATCGCTAAACATACCTCCTAACAATGGACCAACCATATTGCCAAGCCCTAACATTAAATTGACCAATGCCATGCCTTGTGGATATTTTTCTAAACCAGTCGCTTCAAACATTATAGCAGGCGTCTGTGCAACAGTTGTGCCGAACACGATACCAAACAGAAAGCACGTGATCAGTATTGGCCAATAGTCAAACAGATTGATGATGACAGCATGTAAAACAGCGCTAATGCTGCAGAGATATATCCAGTGGTTAACTGTAGGAAAGTTGCTGAAACAAAAGTTCAATAAAGTAGAAAGATTAATTTGTACTGATGCCAATAATACTTATAAGTATTGATCAGTTTTCAAATCGTCTGCGCTATCAGTAAAGAAATCTTTAAACAGATAAATGATGTGTTGACATTGAAAAGATAAGACCCTTATTATTAAATAATGGTTAAGGAGGGAGCTGTAATTGTTCCGTTTGAATCCTTACGGCAATTAATTTGTATTTTGTTTTTGATCGGGATTAGTCCATAATCATTAAAATACTGTAGCTGAAAAATACTGAAAAATACACCTACGCAGTCGCTGCGGGGAATTTTACCACATCGGATGTTTATATATATTGAAAAACTAAAGTAATTCATTCACTTTTCACTCTTTTAATTTTATACACAAAATCCTTTTGTATCAGATCTAAACACTTTCATTAACTTTATTTACTTTCCACTTTTAGATCTATATTTATTCTGCTCAAATACCACATGTTTCCCTTTTTATATTGCAAATTCCCGCCAAAAACAAAAGAAAAACATGTATAGGAGCAATAATATGTCAGTACAGTTTCCTGCAAAAAGTAAAATATTTAAAAGCATTAAAACATGAATTGGAGCTATAATATATGTTATTAACCAAAGCGCAGCAAACTGGAGCGACATTTATAACATAATCGTGAAATTAAAGACAGTCACCGCATGACGTGTGCTTAACTGATCTGAACTCATCCTGTGTAAATTAGCATGTTTGTATCGCTACATGTTTCCAGAGTAAATGTATATGATTAACATAGATGATTATAGATTACAATAAGATTCAATGAATTAGACAATATTAACAATATTTCACCTTAAACATTTAGCTACACGTATGTACTTAAATGTGAACAGAACGTAAGCTTACACGAAACGGAACCTTAGTAAGGCACCAATGATTCGACCAAAGCAATTACCTATACCTAGAGCAGACACTGTGATAGAACCAGATTCTCGTGCGAACCCACGTGATATCATATGATCAACAATAAACCATGCTTCAACATTGCCTGAAGTATTAAAAATAATGACGTTCCGCTCGAGTGACTGTTATTTACAGAATTGTTATAAATGTAATATAGTTTTAAGGCATGAAAATTAACAAAACAGTTTTGAATATTAGGCAAATTTGAAATTATAATAAATTATGATTTAGTTTTCTTGATTCCAATTTGTCGTATGTAGAAAGGAAAAAAGAAATACCTGTAACTGAATTTAAGAAAAAATTCAAAAGCATCATCCAAATTAAGATGTCGGTCAATAATGTTTTATCACAAAATGCATTTGTCCTTTTTCGTTGTTCCTCATCCACATTTGCAAAGAATCTTTTTGAATAATGAATCAGTATCCCGCATGGAACACAATTTAATGACACGCCGGCAATAAGAATGAAGGCTCCTTTCCAGGAATACTTTGCAATAAAGGTCTCAAAAAGAAGCGGGACAATAAATTGTCCTAGACTATTGCCGAGTGTCAAGCTTATCAAATAAAAACTAGCGTTTTGTGGAAACATTTTGCCAGTCGCAATGTAAGCAGCCAAGTAAGAAATCCCCGTCGCAAAACCTGCAAAAGTAATCATTATTTACATTTTGGGACGATGAAAATCATTTTAAAGGAGCTCCACTGAGGTTAAAAGCATAAAGACATAAAAAAGAATTATTTTATTACACAGATCAAGTTGAGCACTAAAAACAGAAAATTCTGCAAAGGGTAAAATAGATATAATCATGGCTAAATTGAATATCAGTTGTTTGTCTGAGTGTCATTCATAGCCTTATTTGAGCGAACAGCGGTGCAACGCTTTTTATCCTCAAGTTATTTTACACAATACAAATGATTATTCTGGAATGAAGATTTCATGGAATGTCCTGAACATTTTCACATAGGTTATTGGTCCAGAGCTACATCTAGCGGTTAACAAATCTCGGGGAAATACTTCCAGTCTCATCATGTCAAAAAGCCTCAGTGGAGTCCCTTTAACAAGAGCCGTTAACGACAATCTCGCAAGGACTCTTCTTGCAAACGCTCCTTTTATATCAATTAACCCTAATATTTTATATCAATTAACCCTAATATAAGTTCAATAGAACCAAAAACCGGTACAAAATAAAAACCCTTAAAAAACTTTGGTGTTGACGTGTTGTACTGCTTCATTTCCTCATATATTAATTATAGATATGTTAAATATATATACATATGCATATATTTGTTGAGATATAACACGACAATTAAGGCAAGTGCCGTCGGTGGCCGAGTGGTTAAAGTCGTTAACTTTAAACCATTTGGTCCAACAGCTATATGTTTGAATCCCGCGAGGATGTTATATAACAAAAATGAAACAGAATCGATACTATAAACAAATGTTCACCAGAATATCATATATAAAAAAGAATACTCTTTTCTTTTTGGTATTTGTAATCTTTTTGGTGTTTGGTTTATATTGGGTAGAATAATGCATGGGGCACGAGATTTTCATGAGTTTTTTCGCGGTATTAAATCATTCGAGGTTTACTACACAGTACGCACGGTTCACCAAATTTCTTTTATTTTATAAATTGTATGTTCATGAGGAGATGGTTGATACCTGTTATATATAATAATAAATGTTTTATAAATGAACATTTCAAGTTAATTGACAAAGATTGGATTTTACAATGTGACTGATCAATAATTGTATTGGGAGGATTTGTCAAATTGATTGATTTTTCTTAAGTTTTATCCAATTGTTAAGTAATTCTTTAATATATAAAAAGAATATTCGGAAAGCAGGGGGGCGAAGAGAGCCTGTTCGCTGGTCAGAGCTTTGGATTCTCCCTACCTCCCCCCTGTTAAACAATAAATTTAAATAATAATAATACGAGTTGGGGTTGGGGCAGCCGGCTCGCAGCATATGATTAACCTGTGTTTCCGGATAATTATTTTTAAAATGGTTGTTTTTTCGTTTGGTATATTTTTTTTCGGCAGGATTAAAAAAAAAAGTCCATTTCAAAGTATTGATCAATTAATTTCAAATTTATCAGATGAAGTATGTTATTAGTATAATAATAATCAACATTGTTGCTATTACAGAAGTATTTATATATATATAGGAATACTATGTACTAATTAAGGCGTTCCTTTGATATGACATTATATTGTGTGATGTATTGCTGTAAAAATGTTCATAAATGAGCTTTAGTAAACCCCAATCTATAGAACCTTATCTGAGTTTTCTTATTTCTTGGTTTGGATTATATGGTTTAGGAAAGAAATAATTTATTTTCGGACGAACGAAGTGAGGGAGAAAATAAAATGCGTGACAAAAACATGTTTGTGTCAATCGGTAAACACGTATGACAGAGATCATTAACTTCTAGATAGATAAATAGATTATCATGTATAATATGTCTTTTACCTGCAAAAATTCCGGTGCACAGAATGATTGGGATCAAACCGTCAGCAAATGCACTGACAAATAATCCCAATCCACTCAGTAAAGTTCCTAGCACAATGGACACACCTGCACCAAGCCTTTCTATTAATCGAGCATAAATTATCCCTATTAATAAATAAAAAGATAAGTTGCTTACTATAGATTCACTACGAAAGCCTAGTAATGTCAAATAAAATAAATAATAAAAAGTACGGCGTTAAAACGCGAATAAAGTCGTTATTACGCGAATCAAAAGGCGTAAGAACGCACGCAAAAAAAAGGTGAAGCAACGCGAATAAAGGCATTATAACGCGACTCAAAAGGCGTAATAACGTGAAAATAAGTTATAACGCGAATCAGAAGGCGAAATAACACCTTTATTCGCGTAAATAACGCGATACAAAAGGCGTAATAACGCGAACCAAAAGGCGAAGTAACGCGAATAAAGGCGTAGCAATGTGAACCAAAAGGCGTAATAACACAAGTCAAAACGTATTATGATGCCAATTTAATACCATATCATACTAATCAAATGGTCTAGTAACTTAAGAAAGGAAGAACAATATTGATCTGAATTTATTGCTCAAGATATAAACTCGTATAGAATAATATAATATACATTTACAATAACTATCATTCCATTTGCGCAGTAATAATGCAAACTGTTTGTCAAAACCTAATGAAGACTCTTTGATATTTGTCAATTTAAGTTGACTTGAAGACTAATTGGTCCATTGGAATGGATGTCAATATAGTTTCTCTGAATTCACATGTATCACATCATTGATTTTACACATGCCACTATAGTAAATCAATTTCTGTTCTTTTCTTATCTTATTTAATTTTATCTTATGTTATCTATATCTTATCTTATTTTATATGTGTGTAATATGTTCAATTACCTACGGATATGTATGATTTGCTGTATAGTTATCTTATAACCAGTAGTATCTTCTAATTATGTGAATGACGTTCCTTATTTAGCTATAGGTAATAGGTAAAAAGATTTGGAAAAACGTAAGGTATAAGTGTAAAAGTAGATCTTAATAATTGATAGGTACGCTTAACAGGGTGATAGTATTTGAGTTAAGTCATAATAAGGAGACGTTGTCTTCATTGTCTTTGTGTAAAGTATCTATAGTTGGGTGATAGTTATATAGTTATAACGCGAACATAAAGGTATAATAACGCGAATCAAAAGGCTTAAAAACGCCTTTATACGCATTATAATGCGAAACAAAGTCGAAATTACGCAAACCAAAAGGCAAAAAACGCAAATCAAAAGGCTTAATAACGCAAGTAAATGCGTTATAAGGCGAATTAAAAGGCGAAGTAACGCGAATGAAGGCGTTATAACGCACATCAAAAGGCGTGATAACGCGAACGCGAAACAAAAGGCGTAACAACGCGAATCAAAAGGCGTTATAACGCAAATAAAGGCGTTGCAACGCGAATTGAAAGGCGTAATAACGGGAATAAAGGCGTTATAACGCGAACCAAAAGGCGTAATAACGCAAAACAAAAGGCGTTATAAAGGTAAAACAATACCATATACATTCCTTTCCGTGGCCTAGTGATGTAAGAAAGGAAGAACAATGTTGATCTAAATGAATTGATAAACATGTACGTTTTCTTTTCAATTCTGTAGACCACAATCTGATTTTCTAATCTAAGGAAACGTTTTCGTCAGATTAGAGGTTAACTATCACCCAGTTACTTATACATGTACCTTACGTTTTTTCAAATATTTTTACCTATAGCCTATTACCTATAGCTTAATTAGAAACGACATTCAAATAATTAGAATATACTACAGGTTATTAGGTAATTATACAGGACATATTCGTAGATAATTGAACATATGACGCACATATATTTTAAATAAGATAAGATAAGGAAAGAAAAGAAAATAAATTTATTTACTATAGTGACATGTGTAAAATCAATGATGAGATGTGAATTCAGAGTATCTGTATTTACATTCAGTCCAATGGACCTTTAAGTCACCAAGTCACCTAAGAGTCTTCTTACGTGTATGACAAATAGATTGCATTATTACTGCGCAAATGGAATGATAGTTATTGTAAATGTATATTATATTATTCTATACGAGTTTATATCTTGAGCAATATATTCAGATCAATATTGTTCTTATTTCTCAAGTTACTAGGCCATTTGATTAGTATAAATAAGGAATTAAATTGGCATTATAATGCATCTTAATTTGTGTAATAACGCCTATTGATTCGCGTTTTAACGCTTTTTGCGTTATTTCGTCTTTTGATTCGCATTTTATCGCTTTTATTTGCGATATTACGCCTTTCGATTCGCGTAATTATGCCTTTCAATTCGCGTTATAACGCCTAAATTCGCGTTACTTCGTTTTTGTATTTTCTGATCGCAGATCAGTAAATACAAAGCTAACATCCACGGTCTTACACAAAATTTCCTAACAGACCTTACAACGCAAAGTAGTTCTCACTGAAAACTGCTTGAAAACCAGCAATTTAAAAAAAGAAATTTTTTTGTATCCAACAAATTACAGCGCATTCAAAGTTTAAAAGTACCGTTGGCTTATAGAATTGTCAATAAATGCACAATCACAAATTACGCGGATGTTCAAATCCCAGTCGAGTCTTTTTTTTAATTTCTTTTTTAAGTGTCTTTGTTAAGGAAGTAGCCTCGATATGCAGGGATAAAGTGTGGCTATCATAAAAATGAACATAAATGATTTTTTGATGCAACTCTAGTTATGCAAAATTCCGTATGTATCAAACTCTGGTACCTTGCAAGATGAATTATAGTACATAAAAATAAACTTATATAGGAAAATACATACATATATACACTACAATTTAGATTGCAAAGATCAGGAAATACCACAGAGCTTGCAATCCTTTGATTATTTGCGTTGTTATGCCTTTTTTCGCGTTATTACACATTTTGATTCGCATTATTACGCCTTTTGATTCGCGTAATAAAGCATTTGTTCGCGTTAAAACGCTTTTGCATTTTTATTTTTTTATTTTATTTGACACGAATAGCCTTTCGTAATTCACACTTTGCGACACGAATTGGTTGTGGACATTTATCAGCTTGCCATTAACTGCTGTAAATTTGAATACTAAATCCTGGGACTTGATTCTTTTAGGAATATATGGAAGTCTTACGGCTTCCCATGTGCCCACTAGAGTTATAGATTATGCACTGAGAGGCACTTGATGTCTTTATCAAATAGTAAAGCTGGAAAAGCGAAATATAACCAATACAGTGATGTTACTAAAAAGACGCCAAAGGAAGCCATTACGAGAAAAATGGATGAATAATTAAAACGTCTTAATCGCTGATATCAATGAGCCCGAAGACATTTAAGCATTTGACAATTCGTATTAGAACACACATTACAGAAACATTATTACTTTACCAGAGTTGAACTTTGTAACTTTGTTTACTTATCCTGAAATATGTTATAATGGAATTTTTTGAAAAAATATCACACAGAGTAACTAAGTCAACTATCTTTATAGAGACAGTATTACAAATTATTTAGTGCAAAGTTATAAACAAATGTTGGCAGGTGAACTTAACCGCTGAAAATGTCAAAATTATTTTTAACAATTTATACCTGTTGCACAAGAGAGCCCAGAATATAGACTTTGTATCCAGGCAGCATCGGCCCTCTTAGCATCAAAAACTATCACAAGCTCGGCATACATCACACTTAAACCGTATCCAATTCCACTACATACAACCAGTTGCATTATACATGCCAGTAATACCGCAAACTTTCTGCCGTTAGTGGCTTTATATGCCCTATCAATCTAAAAAGATATATCGCAGAAATAAAATAATTCCTCATAAGTAATTGCGATGTTTCCTTCTAAACAGTCCCCCACTCCCTCTGCGTTGCATTTACCTCGAATATTTATATCAACCGTAAAACTATATAAGTCTTTTTCATATCGCCAAACTTAAGCAGAATATGGTTTAAAAATTATACAATGCAAAAGCATATCACAAGTAGAACAAATAGTCCTCGTTAAATATATTTTGCCAACAAAGCGTGATCTGCAAAAAAAACGGAAACTTATTTTTTTTATTAATGAAATATTAAATAACTTGAAGTCATTTTGAAATGTTTCAACATTCTAAGTCGAACGATGATATCTATGTATTATAATAAGGAATTAAATTTAACGGAACATTGGTTATTCCATTATATATCCGAAATAATAGAGACTCTAACCTTGACTTCCGTACCAAGAAGTCGTCTGCTCTCTTGAGAATAACGCTGTTCTTTCGTAAAACAGTACAATTTTTCCATAATGAGCAATATCCTGGTTTGATTTCCATATATATTTTTTTCTACACAAAAATGTCGCGAAGAATATGTATACCTTAACTAGCTAAAGATGTTTTAAATGTTTAAATGATTTAAACAGATATGTTTGTCTTTACAGTATGCATCAAATTTATTTCAGTCACATATTCGTGTTGGGTATGTTAATGACAATGCATTTAATTCATACGACAAATTATGCATGTATGCGACATTGTTTAACATTATCATTGATAGTTGAATATTACCCAAGACCAAAATCAAAATATTAAACGTGTGTTATGGCATCTCGTACTTTAAAGCTATTTTTATCTTACTGATACATGCAAATTAGTCATGCCATAAAGTGTTAAATTTACGGGATTCATTACGACATAGGCAGTCCGGAGTTTAAATTTATCTATTTTTAGTACAGCGTACATCTCACGGAACTTAAAATGCGCAAAGAACCTATATATTTATAAGGGAGACAAGTGTTTGCATAATGCATGTTATAAATAAAGAATTGTCTCCCTCTTGATGTTTTTTTATGAACTCTCTTATGAGTTTAGCTTTGCATCTTAAATCAAAAACATTCTTTCTTCACGAAAAACTACAATAATAGACTTATTACCATATATATATAGAGAGAGGCAGGTGTAAGAATTAACACGTGTTTGGCTACAGGAATTTCTGTGCTTCTTAAAGCAGCATGCCTCAAGATGAGTAAAAATATTTAAATAAATCAAACTTGTGAAAAATGTACTACGATTTTATGAAAAGTAGAGAGATTCAATATTAAAGTAATAACTTACATGTTATGAGCCATTAATGATGACTGTTTCATTATGTGTAACTATATTATACTGCGTTACTAACGCAGTAAGGGCATTTTTATATTTTGACATCTTTTTGTGATCAACGTGGATTTTAAGTGCCATTGATAATGTGTAAATTGCTTCCTTTTGGTTACAATACAATATTATACATTTAATTTCATTTTCAAAACGTTCATGAAAATAAGCATTGATCTGGAGGTGTGGTGCTTAAAACATAAATGGTCCAATAACAAAACGCATTTTTACGGTTTTTATCCATTTAGTTTTATTATTTATTTATTTATTTATTTATTTATTAATATTTCTATTAAGTTTAGCTTGTAAAGTGTGGCATTTTTTTTAACTTTCCAACATGAATTTATTGATAACATGATATGGAAAGTCTTGTCTGTCTTATGATTATAAAAATTAACGTTGTTGTGGAACTCTTTCTTTGTACAATGTGCACTCCTAACTATATTATGTGGAAGCATCCTTAAGTGTATGAATTCAACTGAACACTATATGACGACAATGTGTCTTTATATGATGTGCATTTATAATTATACTATGTGGTTACATCAATATATTGTGCCAACTCATCAATATACTATTTCAATCTTGCATTATACAATGTGAATCGATTATTATATGATGTGCATTTATAAATATATTAGTTTAATTCATGTAAGGATGTTCCCACATAATACATGTATATTTATGAGTCACATTGTACACAGAAAGGTTGACTCAATAAATTTCTACTTGGACATAACAAAGTTCAGTTTTATAACTATAAGAGAGGCAAGGCTTTCCAAAACCTGACTTTAGTCGTCTAACAAGTATGTTGGAAATAAAATGCTTTAAAAACGCCATTAGGGGTTGCCTGTCATACAACAATATTAAGATTAAAAGAACAATGGAATACATTTCGTTAAAATTTTTCTTCAAAACAATACTTTAACATAAAAAAGAAGCAAGTATGGCGATATTATTAGTTAATTTTATAGATTGTATAACATCAAGTTAAATCTTCACAGCTTTGTCGAGAAATTTCAAGAGCCAAACATGTTTTATATTTTAAATAATAGGATTTTAGGTTTCCTAAATAACTACTGTATAGAGGTAGCAAACACTGTTGTACAGGTGTCAAATGTTCTATTTACGTGGTGTTTATAAAAAGTACGGAAAAATTGCGAAGGAAACATAAAAATATATCTTGACTAGGCTTGATAAGAAGTTAAAGGCTATATAGGAAGAATTATTTAAATCGTGTAAAATATAACAATGTTATTTTGTTTTCATTTGAAAGATTTGAGATAAACAGTCAGTCATTGCTGTAAACCGTATTGAATTTAAATATCAAATAAAAAGTTATCTACATATTGTTTGATAATTACGGTGTTATGAGTGTCTCACAATGCACAAAGGAATTATATCATATATTATATAAATATTTAAATATTTAAATATGCACCTGGTGGAACAATCTTACATGCAAAATAATTTTAAATAGCATTCATTCATTTCCAATTTCTTTAACAATATTGATTTATGTATTAAGAGTTTCTTTGCTCATTTGAAGGTAAAATCATAAAACTTCAAACCAACTACTTTTGCACATTTGTAGTTGGTTTGTATTTACACATAATATATTTCTTTTATTGCTTATGATCAGTCATTTATCACATTCAGCTGACTTAAATTATGCTAAATACAAATCAGTGTTAAACTTCATGTTCTCAAGTAGCACTGTGTTACAACATTCATTACAATGAAAATAACTAAGTACAACAACTAAATATTTGATTTAACAACTGTTTCGGGATACAAGACGACTGCTTTATCACTGCGCTATTGACGCACTTAGCATTTTATAATAAGTTTGATAAGTTTTTTTCAATATTCCATTGGACCAAATGGTCCATGAGGATAAACAGATACATGATAAATGACAAGACAGTGTAAAGCATATACATAACATGTGTAAGTGGAGAAGGTGTACATCAAAATGTATATCATCAATTAAAATGAACATCAGAACAAAAGGACATTCAACTTAACCTAATGTTAAATAAATTACCACTGTCTAGCAAAACTTACAGAGAAGTGAATTTCGTACATTGTATTGAATTAATTTGATAAGATACATGTATATAATATAATGCATCATATAGATTTATATTCATATTTGCTTGAGTATGTGTATGCTGTTCTTGTCGAATCAAAATACAAGAACAACATAACCATTTGTCGGTAAATTTAGATATAGAACGTGAGTCAATTTAAAAAAATTAAATGAATTTGACAAAAACTCGGATGTATATACTGTATCATATAAAGTTATATTTATACTTGTTCGAGTACGTGTTTGTTGTTCTTGCCGAAACAAAACACAAGAACAACATAACCATTAGTCAGTAAATTTAGCTATAGAGAGTGGTTCGATTTAAAAGGACGCATAATCTTAAGAATCATTTAGCTATATATTTACAAATATATATCCTTGACATGTATATCTTCTAAACTAAAGCATTTACTAATTCAAAATTATTAAGCATAATTGAGTGATAAATGTATGCTTTATATACACGGTATTTGTTTCTTTTAGTACTAGGATTAAAGTGATAAAGAACTGATTTTTTTTTCTCTCAGTCAAAATACCTAATTACATATAAAAATTGATGGCCTATATAGATTAATTGCATAAGTGAAGACAAAAAAAATGAAGAAAAAAATTATAAAAAATTGGTTAATAAAGCTTGCCCAATCTGAGCTTTAAACTCACACCTTACCGAAACACTTGTTCTGACTTTTTCAGAAAGGGGAATTTACAGTAAGTATTAAATACTTTCAATTTCAAATTTCTCAAAGATGTTTGCTTATTTTTAGAGGGACCTACAGATTTTACCGTTTGTTTGTCAGCTATTGTCGCGGCAGCAGCAGCAGTTCAAGAAGCAGCACCAACAACTAGTATACGCAATTGTAGTATGACTTTAACTTTATAGAATATATTAGGAGGGGGACAAAACTTTATAGATAAAATATTGGTGTCATTATATATATAGTGGGAAGTGGGTCACTGTTATACATAAAATAATGATAATAAAATAGACAACGTTACACCTGCCAATGACCTTCCTGATAAGTTGCAAAGCATGTTGACGATATAAATTTAAGACAAAAATTTAAATGTAAGAAACGTTTTATTAAGGCAGCTTCAACACATGGTTATGTCATAGCGAGTAAAACTTTATCTTTTTTGAGTGTTATATTGGACCATTCTTATACATGAAGTGATTTTCAAAAATGGATTCACATAAATTTTCGACAGATATTATTGAAATTACAGCGCATCCGGGCGCTTTCAATATCGGTCTCATTCATTTTATTTATAAAATGTAGACAGACACGGATGACCTAGCATCAAAAGAAATTGTGACACGGGAAAAGATCGGCATATTTGTGATCAATTTCCCCAGGTGACGCATAATGGAGTTGTTATTAAACGGTAGAGTAATTTGTATACAGGTTAATTTTCACCAAGGTATCAAATCTACCTTAGTAAAATACAATATAATTAATAATGTATAAATGGTTATATGTTTAACCAAAAGTCAACTCATCTAAACTATGAATGCGTCGATCACTAAAACATAGTGAGTCTGATATTGCGATTTCATACATATGACAACTACTATGAACGACATGGAGGTTCAAAAAGATTAAACGGTGGAATCGTCCCTCTTTAAATCATAAACATACATTGTATATAGAATATATAAATCGGTCCCCTAACGAATTACCTTTACAGTAACTTTAAAGATGAACTAGAACTACTACAAATTCAATGACACTGAGGGTCATGAGTTTTATATTATCTTTCAGATCTTAATTAAAAGTCTAAAATTCGTATTACATAATCATTTTATATCTGTTAATGTGTCAACAGACGATGACTTTCATCAAGAAATAACAGTGTTGAGCTTATTATTTTTCTATTGTCAAAATAAGATGCATGGAATGTAATTTATATTTTGCTACAATTATATAACTAATCAAACCGACTATATCGAAACACTAGTTCACTTCATATTACGTGTATCAAAAACATAAATATATCTTATCTACATACGTTGACTTGGATATTATTAACTTTCTTGACTTTGTTTACTTTGGTAAGCTTAATACCAGCAAGTATCTGAATCACTCCCAGCCATGCTATTTTTCAAAATTTACTATTTTGAAATAAACTTACACTATTTTAGTTTCCTCAGTTTTGGATTAAAATACTATTAACTCTTTCCCCCATGAGCATATTGTGA